AAGCTTCTTGAACTCTATACGACCTACGTTTTCAGCTAAACTCTGCACCGCTTCAGCAAATCAATTTTAGAAATAAGTAAAGATTTCAGAACAAACTCAAAAAGTTTTCAGACAGGAATAATTTCCTAGAAAACTTGAATATGATTTGGCTTCCTTGTAAATTACAGTCTTTCACTTTACTGTCACAATGAAAAAGCATTGAACAAACACACGTCAATGTACACAGAAAGTTTCACGCAGGTTCTGTCCGTAAAAACGCTGTAGCAACAACCTTACCTGTCATTTTTCTGTTTATTGCTTTCATAGAAATAAGAAATTTGAAACAGTAAGTAGATAATTTGCTAATTAATGAGAAGAAAAAGACGTAAAAAGAAAATATTAAGTAAACTGTCACTCGACCACGATTTAAAGTACAAAATAATTTTCTAAGGCTGAAACTAATGCGTAATGTTCAAGCTTATGTTCGTTTTGATACCTCCTACTTGCAATGCCTAATGAATCTAGTAATATGAACAAATGTTGGAAATACCGCTGTCGCGAGGAAAAGTCACCCCGTTAGTTAAGAGATTCGTATGTAGCATTAGTCTCAAATGTGGTAATATTATGGTGAAGGATTACGCCATAAACGTTATAGTGCTTAGCGAGAAAGAATTTATGACGAGCGTTGTGTAAAGATAATATTTGGGTCTTTGAAAGCTAACATTGATAAAATATTTGTGTTCTTCAATGTAATCGCTTTATACCTTGAAAATTACCAATGTGATAATATCACTTCTTTACAGCTTATATGGCGCTACCACAGGGCAGTAGGAGCAGCCTACTGAGTCGAAGTTAAGCTACAGTTGATACTTTTTTATTATTACAAATCTATTACTTCACCACATTTAAACATTACTGCTGGTCTATGTGTTACTGCGCTAACACAGAATGATCGCTCGGTAAAAGGATATATTTCAAGTACATTTTAAATTGTATGGAAAATATTTTGTTTTTGTCTAATCTGCAGATGAAAAAGGCAAGTACAAAGCACTTTATTGATGCGATTTACAACTGTAGTTTTTGAGAAAAGCAGGTTGATAAATTACAGGTAGTAAATTATTAATCAGAAGCATGACTAAACACGTTTAGTTATTTTTTGCACTATAGAACAGTCGGCTTTTT